TCCATTCAGTACGTGCCCTCTTTAATACCCATCACCAGGCTAACCCGTCCCCCCACCCCCCTCCCCTCTAGAACCCTCAGTTTGTTTCTCAGAGTCCATAGTCTCTCATGGTTCGTCTCCCCCTCCAATTTCCCCCCCTTTGTTTTTCCCTTCCTACTTTTTTTTTTTTAACATATAATGTATTATTTGTTTCAGAGGTACAGGTCTGTGATTCAACAGTCTTAATTAACACAATTCACAGCGCTCACCATAGCACATACCCTCCCCAGTGTCTATCACCCAGCCACCCCATCCCTCCCACCCCCCACCACTCCAGCAACCCTCAGTTTGTTTCCTGAGATTAAGAATTCCTCATATCAGTGAGATCATATGATACACGTCTTTTTCTGATTGACTTATTTCGCTTGGACTTTTATTTTATTTTTATTTTTTTTAAAGATTTTATTTATTTATTTGACAGAGAGAGAAACACAGCGAGAGAGGGAACCCAAGTAGGGGCAGAGGGAGAGGGAGAAGCAGGCTTCCCGCGGAGCAGGGAGCCCGATGCGGGGCTCGATCCCAAGACCCTGGGATCATGACCTGAGCCGAAGGCAGACGCTTAACGACTGAGCCACCCAGGTGCCCCTCGCTTGGACTTTTAATCTGCTTTGTACTCCACTGCCAAACCAGCATTCCTAAACCACCAAATTTATCTAAACATCACTCCTAAGCTTCAGTAGCTCCTCGTTGCCTGAAAGTTCAAATCTTTCCTTCTCATCCTGGCATTTAAATTCCTCAGGATTTTGCCCACTTGTGTTTTTATTCCCCAGCAGGAACTCTGCTTCTCACAAGTTTTCATCTGCACCATCCTCCACACAGTCCTTTTTACCAATGTTATCCCTCGCACACGTACCTTGTGAGGCTCCTCCCCACATCTCTTCTCTGATCCAGCTCTTACTCATTCTTTGAAGCCCCCACACGCTGCACACCCCTCTGCCAATGAGTTGGTCCCTTTTTTGTACCACTCCCTTCTGTACTTACCATGGGCTCACATGTTTTACACTGTTAGAATAGCTCTTCCCTCTATCTTGTTTCCTCAATAAACTCCCTGAAGGGTTCCACATTGTATTTCTGGCCTTTCGGTCTCAGTTTGCACAGCATAAAGTGTGAAAACTGTATGGTTGTATTGAGAGTCAAATGAAATGAGTATAAAAAGCACCTTGTACAGGGCCTGGTACCCAGTTAAGTGCTCAGAAAATTATAGTATCATAGTATCTATAGGAGCATACAATCGGGAGCCCACAGAAGGTGCTTAATAAATCTTTTAATAGTAGTTACGTACTGGAGAGAGCATGCATTCAGACTAGCCTGGTATTTGGAACTAACAGCAAAGAAAAACTTGCATCAGAAATTCTACACCAATTAACACGCCTCCATGCTAGAGTGAATCCAGGAGAAGTGGGTGTCACATTTTCTCAAAGTGGTGCCTAAGCCAATCTTTCTGCCTTTAACAAGTTAATGAATAGCTTATGAGTAAGCTTTGCCCACTCTGGCCCAATTTAGAAGGCTGCCAATAGGATAGGATGTCGATAGGCCACACTCAGCTTTGCTGGGGTCCCAGCTGTAACCTCCCTAAGTGATTCTGCTCTCAGCAGCTGGAGGCTCTGATATCCCTAGAGAAGTGGGCACCAGTGGGATGAGGCTGCAAAGAGGTCCTGGCCTTTCCCCAAGTGGAAGAGAGCCTTGTGTCAGATCTTGTGAGAGAAGGGAGTGGGGCCTGGTATTCCGAGCAGCCCAGGTTTGGCTTTGGGCCAGGCACTGAGTGGCAAACAAGAAGGAACACATTCCGGGAAGGCAAGGAGCCCTGCCAACGCAACGGGGGCCGGACAAGCTGGGCCTGCTGGGCGCCAGGTGCTCCTTGGCTCTGTGGAGGTCAGGCACTCAGGGAAATGCACTCGGGTTTCTCTGGATTATCGTTTCAGAGGCTTAAACACCTCCCTCCCTCTCACTTCAGGTGGACAAAGCAGTGCTAAACCTCTAAACCTGAATCCTCTGCCCTCTGGGTTCTAGCCCCTCATCTCTGAATAAAGGTAGTAGAGGAAGGAGTGTTGTGGCCTCCTGAGATCACACTTTGGGGGAGCCAGGTTTCTGTAATTCTGTGCCCTGAGTAAAAGAAGATGCTGCTGACAGCAAGGGCAGGTCAAGGGGAAACCTGGGATTTCTATGCCCTTGTTGGAAGAGTAGCCGAGCTCCCCACCCTCCCCCTCCTACATCCACCCGTCCCCTCACCCCACACCCCCAAACAACACATGCTGGTTCTTCACACCTGCCAGGTCTGCCTCCCTACTGGCCTGACCTTCAGGTCTAGAGAGCCTTTGGGAAGGCATTCCATTCTGCCCCCCACCAACTCCCCCCCCATGAAAGAAGAGGGAAAGGAAAAGAGAAACGACCAAAGGAGACCATGGAGAAATGGCCACGGGAGCTTGCCAGAGCTCCCCTTCTGCCGCTGGATAGGCAATGCACTGGACTCGGACCAGACCTGGCCCGGTTTCACCCCACAAGGGGACAGCAGCGGGGGCCTTTCTCTGCGGAAGGAGAATGAAGTCTGGTCCTCTCTGCGGCTCCAGCTCCTGCTGGGCTTTGCTGCCACCTTGTGGCCTAGATGGCATCTCTTCCCCCTCAAGGAGACCAGCCTGGAGATCTGGCTTCAGTCCCCGCCTGAGGCAAACCTGAGAGCCTTCTCTGAGAAGCTTCTCTACCCTAGGACGCCCTGCTTCTGCAGCCCAGCAGCTGGGAGAGAGGGGCAGCCCAGGTTCATGACCTCACCCAGTTCGACAGGTGTCCTAATGCCATGGCCACCAGGTAGGCGGGCCAAGGCTGGCTGGCTGGGGGCCGGGGGTAGGGGTGGGGGCAGTCTCTTACTCACAGGAGACCCCTGTGGGTTATGGTTCAGCCAGAGCTCCCCTCATTCCTGAATGTCCTTTTCACCAGAGCCCCTGCTCCTCCCACGACCCTGCCTTGTCTGGCTACACCCATGTTGTAAAACCCAGGCTCCTGCATTTTATATATATATATATATTCTCCAATTTCTCCAAATTTAAGGCAGTTGTTTCTTCCTTATAAAGTTAGCTCATTTCAACTTTAAAATTATAAAGATTGTATGCCCTCTCTGTGATGCTGCTGCTATGAACCAGTCCCTGAGAATAATGGAAAGGGGTATATTATGTAGATTATCAGCCATATTTTCCTGCATATTACATTCACGTGTTTATTTCGTCTAGCAAAAGAAAGCACTTGTTTTCAGCAACCACTGATCCTACAGACTCCAAACTTTCTGATCTGAGCAGCAGTACCCAGGGATTGTATAAAGTCCAAACTCCCTTTTACTGTCTACCTCTCCAGCCTCTTTGTCTGTGTGTGTGTATGTGTGTGTGTGTGGTAAAATACACATAAAATTTACCGTCATCATTTTTAAGTGTATAGTTCCATAGTGTCAAGTATATTCCCATTGTTGTGCAACCATCATCACCGTCTCCAGAACTCTGTTCGTCTTGTAAACTGAAACTCTATGCCCATTAAACAATAACTCTCGCTTCCCTTCCCCCCAGCCCCTGGCAAACACCACTCTACTTTCTGTCTCTATGAATGTGACCACTCTAGGTACCTCATATAAGTGGAATCATACAGTGTTTGTCTTTTTTTTTCCTAAAGATTTATATATTTGAGAGAGAGCGTGTGTGTGAGCAGGAGGAGGAGCAGAGGGAGAGGGAGAAGCAGACTCCCCGCTGAGCACAGAGCCCAATACAGGGGTTCGATCCCAAGACTCTGCAATCATGACCTGAGTCGAAATCAAGAGACAGTGGCTCAGCTGACTGAGCCACCCAGGTGCCCCAATGTTTGCTATTTTGTGGCTGGCTTATTTCACTTGGCAGAATGTCCTCAAAGTTCATCCATGTTATAGCATGTGTTAGAATTTTCCTCCTTTTTAAGGATGAGTAACATTCCATTGTATGCATATACCATATTTTGCTTATCCATTCATTGGTTAATAGACACCTGACCTGGGTTGCTTCCACCTTTCGGCTATTATGAGAAATGCTGCTCTGAACGTGGGTGTGCAGATAGATAACTCTTTAAACCCTGCTTTCAGTTCTTTTAGGTATACAGCCAGGAGTGGTATTACTGGATCATATGGTAATTGCCTTTAGTGTTTTGAAAAACTGCCATACTATTTTGCACAGCGGTGGCAGCACCATTTTACATTCCCACCTGCAGTGCATAAGGGCTCCAATTTCCCCACATCCTCACCAATACTTGTTTTCTGTTTGAGAGTAGCTGTCCTAATGTGTGTGAAGTGGCGCCTGATTGTGGTTCTGATTTCCCTAATGACTAGTGACGTTAAGCATCTTTTCATGTACCTGTCGGCCATTTGTATCTCTTCTTCGGAGAAATGTCCATTCAAGTTCCTTACCCATTTTTTAATTGGTTGTATATGTTGTTGGTGTTGACCTCTCCAACCTCTTTCCACATCACTCTCCCACCTGATCAGTATCCTAGAGTCATGCAGAGTCTCTCTGTGCAGAAGAGACATACGTGTTCTCTCCTACGTTTTGCAGTTACTGATCCATTTGCCACGAAATGCTCCTCCCGTGGCTGGTTCCTCATCCTTTAACATCAATCTAAAAGTCACTTCAGAGAACCTTTCCTGACCGACCACCCATCTATAGCCAACTCCCTATTTACTCTCATATCACCGTTTCTCCCCTTCATGGAACCTAACCACAATCTGCACTTACCTTGCTTGTTTACATATTTACTTGGAACTTATGTTTACATGGTGTGTAAGTGCCATGGGGACACAGAGATACTGACTGACATGTTCACTGCTATATCCCCAGTGCCCCGCATAGTACCTGGCTCGTGCTCTGGGCTCAGTATTTGCTGAATGAATGAATCACTACTAGAAGGGGCATCCTAGGGAAAAAGAAAGGTAACGTGACACAAATTGGAACTTCACCTCCCTAATCTAGGCTCGATGTCATAGAAAAGGACACAGGGATTTTCTGGCTCGGAGTTCTGGACTTGAATTCCTGAGTCAGAAGCACAGTACCATTTGAACCCAGGACGTTGCTTTGGAGCTGCCCAAGAGAAATAGGGAAGCCTTCTCGGTGTCCCCCCAGCAGAGGCAGGAGGCTGCGGAGGTTTCCTGTGGCTGCTCTTTGCCTTCCCAGTATGCCTGAAGTATGAGGCGGCTCAGCCACAGCCCTGTGAGATTTGCAGAGTACTCGAGATTCTGGGGATGACTTGGGCCCCGTCAGTCTCCTTAGTGCCAAATATGTTAACACGAGGACCTTTTGTGAGTCGTCGAAAGATAAAAATGAACTTTCCATACCACAGGACACTAGAAAAAATCAAATGTTTATATTTTAAAATATTTTCAAAGGCTACTGCCATGCTGGAACAACCCAAGGATAGTCGAACCAATCTCTCAGGGACTCAAAGGGACTCAGCCAGTGCAAGCAGGTCTGTATAAATACACATAGTTTACAAATGAACACAAGGGAAAGGACAGTGGCCCCACAGGACCAGGCTGAGGAACAAAAGGGAGAAACGGACAAGGGGCCCTCCAGAGTGACAGGCACACTCATGCCCAAGAGGACCTCCAGAGCCACCTCCCCTATAGCATGCCTCTTGCCTTTTCTGAGCCCAGGGCATGGCTGGAGACCAGATTCACCAGCATGTTGGCACAGCTACCCATGACTTGGTACCTCTGGTGGCCTCTCACGAGCCTCTGGCTCAACCTAGTAGGGCTCAGAGAATGGACCTATTCTCCCTGCCCTTCAGCAAGGACCAAGGCGGGGAGACACTGGGGCAAGTAGGACTATTTCCCTGAAATCGTGATAAAAAGGAGTGTTGAAGGGGGCTGGTTCCAAAAAAAGGATGGGTTTTTATCCAGTGTGGTGCTGTGGGGAGAATGGAATATGAGTTCCCCTGACACCTACAGAGGTGGTACAAGCAACCCCCCAGGCAGGCTCTAAGCTTAATCCTAGAAACTGCAGCGGGGAAGGATAAAGAGACCGCTCGTCTGAGCTTAGGGACTTGTCACCTACAGATCCGTCCCCCACACCCTCATTTGGGCTTGTCATAAACAGGACAATCATGGCTCCACAATAACTCATTTCCACTTGGATTTTTCCCTGATTAACCTCTCAGGTGTTTGAAGAAGGAAAAGCAGTGACTGTTTCTGACACACTCACCCCATCACCAGTGACTTTGCCTGACACATCTGACCTCACGAAGGCCCTTCTAGAACCCCCAAAGGCACTGTCTTGGCATATTGGAGTCCCAGGGAGAGCAGGCAGAGTTCTGAGGCACAGAGGAGCTCTTTAGAATAGAGAAGGCCTTGGAGAGATGGAGAACTCTCTAAGGCAAAGCTACCACTGTGTCCACTCTTCCCATCCCCCACCTCTCTTGTCCCCAGAGGTATCAGACAGAACCCCTTGACCTGGTCCCTGCACTGTACCAGGCCCACCTTGGACACCCCCACCTTATTCATGGAGTGGAGGACCCTCCCCCATGGCCTGCAACTCACTGGTTCCAAGTGACACGAGTGAGCTCTGCCCTGCGGTGGCCCAACACCCTCATGCCCAGCTGCCCAGCTGCCCAGCCACATCTCCCCAACAGGCTGCTATTGGTCATGGCCTCTCAGGCAGTCAGGCAGGGAGTACAAAGCCAGCTCAAATCAAAGCCACCGACCTTCCCCTCCCCACCCCCCATCCTCTACTTCCTGCCTGGGGCACCTTAGAACTGTTTGAGCACACCAGGGGAAGATGCAGTACCAGGTCTGTGACCACAGTGATCACAGGCCCTGTTCCACCTGTCTCACCAGGAAGTGGCAGCTAAGGACACAGAACGCTGGACCTCGGCCCTCCTTCGCAGCCCCTGCCACCGTCCTCTGCTGCAAGTACTGTCCTCCGGATTCAGCCAGCCTCCTCGTGAGGGGCATGAACCTTCCCCTCTGGCTGGGATCCTAGCTACATACCCTCCTCTGGTCATTCCTAGCTCCCCCCCACCCCACTTCCCCTGTCTGCTCTGGGCCTGACAGGTGCCTAGCTCCTAGTCCCTTTGAGCCCCAGGACAGGGACTCTTGGGGGCCCCAGTGGGAGAGAGCAGAGCCCCACTGGTGGCTTGCGTCTGGGCCTCTGTCCCACTACTGCCGCGAGCCGCGTGGCCGTGGAGAGCTGCATTCCAGGTACCAAATCGTGGCCTTTGTCCCTTGGGTGGTTCCTAGTGCTCTGCCTCTGTGCCAGACTGTTTCCAAGGAACAAGCTAACTTTTCTTTGTCCAAGGGCTTGCTGAAGCTTAGTATACAGAATTTCTCGGCTGGTTCCAGGAATCTGGCTTCGTGTCTTAGTCCCCAAATTGTAGGAGCTTTGTCAACAGCAGGGATAAGAGTTGCAGGGAGGAGGAAGGATCTGGAGTATTTTCCTTCATACTCAGTCTCAGCACAGCAACAGCATAAACCACGGGGGTCACTGGTGGAAGCTTAGCACCCAGAGCATTCTTCTTGGAGAAGCCAAGGTGGTTGTTACCTGCACACAGGAGATCCCCAGATCAGAGAAGGGGCCTCACCCTGCACACTGTGTCCAGCCTTGCTTGCCAGATTGAGCTGTCAAGCCAGCCCAAGGGCAGGGCCAAGTCCAGCCAGGACAACAAGCAGCCTGGCCGTAGGTATTGGCTCCTGTCCTTTACCTTCAATCCCCGAGGCACTGGGAAGAGACAGGACATCACCTGTGCCCAGGGACTGGGCCATCCCAATTCAGGGAGCATAACTGCTGTTCTAGCCGGGAGATGCGGAATGCCAGATAGGATGAGGACATGACCAAGAAGCAGATCCTGGAGAAAGAGATAAGAAGGATATCTTATCTGGAAAAAGGACATTTTTGGATGTCACCACAAATAGGAGTGGGGACAAAGCTACTTCCTGCAACTGGCGGAATTAAAGAACTCTTTGCCTCTCAGCTACATTTAGGCCTGGAAATCTTTGTTCCCAGAGGCCATGTGGGGATCCTGAGACTCGTCCCCATGGAGGTGTCTTTGAAGCCCAGCAGAAATTCTGGGTCCTTAAACTGAGCCCACCTTCCCTCTGACCAGCCACCTTGGTCCTCTGCCTCCTCTTCAAGGCCGCTAAGATTGTCCCCCAAGGTGGTACGCCCCTTCTCCCAGCAAGTGCTGAGGCTGACAGTTGGAACTCAGCCAGCAGAACCAGAGGAAGATCATGAGGTAAGGTGAGGGGAAGCCAGGGGCCCCACCATGCTCACCATTCGGCTGGTCCTTAGGCAGAATTACAGACAAGTCTGGGGTTCCAAAAACTGCTCTAAAGGTGGGTGGCAGGAAGGCCATGGCTCTCCCCTAGTCTATCTGATGGCCCTCTCCAATTTTGTCAGCTGTCCCCCTCCCCAGTCCCATGCAACTTTCCCTTTTTTCAATAGCTTCATATCCTGCCCCTCCCTACTGCACAGCCTTAACCATAAATTACAGGGGTGCATGAATAAAGACTGGAGGCACTTTGTCTTGCTACAGAAGGGCCTGTCAGGTAGCCTCCAGACACCACTCAGGAGCTTTCAGTTGACTTAGGACCTTCCCCTCACTCTGGACAGTGACCTCCCCACACACAGAGGCCCCTGCTCCAAACAGCCAGACACCCAGGTGAGTTTGACCCCTCCCATCTCCAATATAGTCACCTACAGCACAAAGATGACCTTGAGGAGCTGGTAATCCCAGAGCCTCAGCTCCCCGTCGCTCCTGGGCTCTTCCTCCAGCTTCTCCTCCTCACAGACGGCCTTCTCTGTGATAGGAGAGCAGTTAGGCATCGTCCTGTGGCAGGAGCCCAGCCCAGCAAGGAGGAAGCCCACCTCCCCCCATTCTCAAGCTGCTTAGGCTTTTGGCTTGGCTTTCCCTTATGGATTTGGATAAAGTACGAAACAGCTCTCAGAAGCCTTGCTGGCTGTGATTTTTCCATTTTGCAGAAGTGGGGACAGGGAAAGCCTGGTCTTTGCAAACAGTTGTCACAGACGAGCACCCTGAGCTCACCAGACCCGGGAGGCTTCCTGGAGGGAAAGAAGCTGTCCGTGGAGTCCATGGATGCCCGAGGTATACAAGGGATGTTGTCTGGGAGCGACAGGGACCTGGAGGCTGGGCACACTTTTCTCCACTTCATCTCAGGGATGAGGACTTCCTGCAGAGAAGGCAGGAAAAACTGTCTCTCTATGACCCTTGGGATGTCACTTGTCCTAAGGGGCCCACACTGGGTTTATCAAAGCTTTTCCAGGTACTACCAATACAGATACCTAGTGAGCATGATGGCAGGTACCCAGAAGGAGGGAAACCATTGCCTTAGCAACCACGTGTCTCTCTTACCTGCTTCCTTGCTGGGACCAGCCGTTCTTCCAGGGAACAATGTCTTTGAAGACTGCTACTATAGAACCACAGTGGGATCCAAGACGTGAGCTAACCCAGGTACGTGCTCAGATCCTCTGAGCCCAAGAAAGCTTGGCACGATGTATCTTAGATTGGATAAGTCCTCCTAATCTGGACTCTGACCCTAAGTACATCACTGACCTTAGCAGGGGGTACTTAGGGTCCCCATCAACAAAAATGGGAACAGCACCTTCTATCCCCTGCATAGTATTGTGCATATTATATGCTTGGCTAAATGCTTAGTGGTTAGTGAAGGAGACTTCAAACACCCTGGGGTCATTTCCATCCCCATCACTGTTCTAGCAACTCAGCTCTGCCTACCCAGAACCCCAGCAGCAAAGGAAACTGCTGGGACCTCGCCATCTCAAATGAGCCTGTCTGAGTTCTACAGTGATAGCCTTTGGAGTTCTTCCCCAAGGACATCTCTATCCCCTGGAAGGCCCTCCTGACCTAAACACTGCTAAAGAAAAGAGGATGGTCACTGGCTCTGTGGCTGTACAGGTGTGGGATCCAACCTGGGCAGTGTTCTGGGGGCTGGACATCTGTTCTGCTCAGAAAGTCAGCAGATCTGCCCAGGACCTAGTGGCTCCGCATGGCATGGAGCGTGTCAGGTCTAGGGGACCCCCTGGCATAGCATGGCCACTGGCTCTTGAGCCTGGAAGGGGACAAGGGGACATTGTGGGCTGCTGCCCGGGAGGCCCTGAAGCCTCAGAGCCATAGGCTCCCTCACACCGGCAGCTTCCGCTTCCAACCTCAGTTCTCACCAGGGACTCGCACTCAGGTTCCTCTGGAAATTCTCTTACACTCAGGCTCTTCTTGCTGGAAGGCTAAGGAAGAAAGGGAACTGGGATCACTTGTCCATCAGGAACAGCCAAGGTCAGGAGTGAGGAAGTGTTAGCACTCTCCGAGAGAGCTTTACCTCCAAATAAGCCACCTCGGGTCAGAGGAAGCCTAGCTCCCAGAGTTTGCCAGAGTCACCTAGTTAGTGCTGGAGCAGAGGGTAAATCCAAGGCAATGTACTTCCCCATGCTGCTGCCCCTCCCCACTTCCTCAGCGTGGGCCAAAGAGAGCTGTAGGCATACTGGAAAGCAGCCACGTGCTTCTGTCTGCACACTGAAGAAGCACAGTGAGGGCATACACATGGGGACACACAGCGGCCACTGGCCTCAAAGAGACATGCTCATAAGCATAGACACCCCGTCCAAGGACTAAGCTCAGATACACTGGGCCTGAGCCCATTACTCTCCTCTCCCTGCTCTTGGTCGCTGTGCTGGAGAGACGGGCCAACCTCTCCCAACAGCCTTGTCCCAAGACCTCAGTCTAGGCCTGAGCAACCGCCCTGGCCCAACTCCTGCCCCGGAGCTCCATACCTGGAGGTGTGTGCAGACCCTCCTCAGCATGTCATATACACTGTCCCGGGAAAGCAGTGACACAAAGACGTACTGGGACAGAGAAAGAAAACAGAAAAGGGTGGTGTAAGTACAGACTGGAGAGAGTACCAGAGTCGGGATCCTGGGGCTGGGACAGGAGACTTACAAGGGATGGCCGGCCCAGAGACTCACTGACCTTCTGGCTGGTGTTGGTGGTGATGGCCAGGCCATTGGGAAGAAGCCGCGCCATCTTGTGTTTTTTGATCATTTGGACAGACACCACGGGAATGACCACCTGAGGGAGGAGATGCATGCTTCTCTCAGGACTCACCCCCAAGGACACAGTCCCTTTGCTTCCTGCATAGTGCCCCCTGACTGGCAGTCAGCCAAGCATGGACACCATGGAGAAGCCTGGCCTATGTGGGAGAATATGTGAGCGTTCTACTCTCTGATGCAGGCTCCCCTTCCAGGTGTCCCACCGCCCTGCCCCTGCCCTCTGGGCTCTCACCCTATTATCCAGGAGGCCAAGGATGGTTGCCCTGGTGAATCCCATACTCCAGTAATGGAGTTCCCTGAGCCACCACCTGGCCACAATTATGGCTCCCCCAAAGTGTGACATACCACTCTGATTCTGAAGGCATTTCAGAGGCACCCATAGGCAGAATAAATTGGCTGTGAACTGTTCTAGACTCTGGAGTCTAGATTGGGGCCCTGCTTTGGAAGGGGTGAAGCTACTTCCCTGGAGACCAGGTGGGATGCCTCACAGCGAGAGGCTTCACCAGGTGCCTAATGCCCGCAGGGTAGGGGCCCTGTCTCTTTCCCAGCTGGGGCCTCATGGGCCCATTGCAGCCCTTACCACTTATTACTACCTTTATATCCTTGCCAAAGAGGCTGGCATGGAAGCAGAGCCAGTTGGGGGAGATGTAGAGCCGGCCCTGGAGAAGGAGGTCTCTCTGGAGGGCGCAGGAACACACTGGGAAGTCACAGGAAAGAAGCCTGGCATGAGCAACCCCGAAGGCCCAGGGCCTATGTCCTCACACTCAGGAGTCCAGAGCCCAGCCTCAGGGACTGCCTTGCTCAGAAGCCCCCTTCCCAACCCCAGGCCCCAAATCACCCATTCCACCAGCACCCTGAGTCCTTCTCAAGAGTCCTGACTGCCCCACCTGAGCCCACCAAACTGCTAGATCTTTCCTCTTCCTCTACTCATGCTTCAGAGGGTTCCCTAAGCCTGGATTCTCACTCCCTTGGGCAGAACTCCTTGCCCTGCCCTGGAGAGAGGGCCTCGATTGTGTCCCACATGCTCACTGAGAAGCCTGAGCAGGAAAGAAAAGTCGTGGATAAGAACAAAACAGAAATAAAATTTGGAAGCCCTGACACTGCCCCAAGAATACTTTCATAAATCCCATTTCAGATCCCCCATCTGCCCGATCTTCTCAGACTTCTAAAGAAAACAGGCCCAACCACATGCAAAGGGCAGCCAGTTCCCATATCAAAATTGTGCCTTGGAGGCTCCAGAGGAGAGGACCTGGGCCTCAGGCACTCTAGGCACCTGTCCAGGCACACCTGGGAGACAGCTCACCTTTGAGAACCACCTCCTCCAAGGGAATGTCCTTAAACAGCTTGTGGTATTGTTGGTTGTATTTACTCAGTAGCGTCTGCAAACACATAAGCTGGGGCTGAGAAGTCCCAAAGGGGCCCTGCACCAGCCACCAGGAAATAATGCCATGGGGGCAGGGGCTCCGGGGACTTAGCGCCAAGCAGTCGGCAAAGAGCCAGCAGGGGTGAAAGGCTGCGTCCCTAGCGCAGCTTGTCTCTCGGTGACGTGATGACAGGAGGTCCTGACGGGCAGCATTGACGGGAGGGGGACGCACCACCCCCACCCAGGAGGGGACACTCACTCAGGTTTCCCTTGGTGACAGGCCTTGGCGGCCAAGGAGCCAACAGTCCCTGGATTCGGGCAGCCCAGAGCCCCTCCCTTGGTGGGCAGTGAAAAGGCAGCCTCCACGCACTTACCCCTTCTCGGCCACACTTCTTTATCTCTTCACCCTTCAAGCCTTCTGGCCAGTGCAGACTGCAAAGGAGACATTCCATTCCAGGAACAAGGAACCCTTGAGTCCTGCCCATACATCCTTAGTGCCAGGTCTGCCCTGGCTTCAAGCCAGAAGCTTGGGGGAGAGATTGAAGACTGAGGCCCTTCTCTGGGAGCCACAGCAAGGTGATAAGCAACAGGGAGGACGGAGCTCAGCCCTGGGGAAGGGCACTCATGCACGCTGGGAGCCTTCCTCCCAGACAGCAGTGGGCAGCGGGCCCCCCAGGAGGTATGCTCCGCCTGAGCCTCCATCTCCCAACTCCCAGAGATGCTTAGGAACTGCCCACCCCTGGGTATCAAAAACCCTCTCCCACGTCTCTGGCCAAAGGATAAGCAGAGGAGCGGACCCGAGGATAGGTGAGCAGGAGACACAGGGATGGGGACCAGTCTGCGGGTGAGGTGGAGATGTCAGACTCACGGCTCCGGGGCCTGGCCGTGGGCCATGATCCCGGCAGGACTGCCCTCCTTGCAGCCTCCTCCCTCCCGGCAGCCTGGAGCTCAGCAGACTCACCTGACCTGAGGGAGGCTACCAAGGCTGAAGGAGAGGGGGTGGTGTTGGCACGCAAAGCTTTGCCCTGGCCAGGTTGGCCTGAGGACAGGTGGGCAGGGAGGAGGCCAGTAATCTGAGAAGCCTAGACTCCGCTAGGCCCCCGTGTGCCGGGACAGGCCCTGGACTGGGAAGAAGAGGCGCGGGGCAGCCTATGCCCAGCCTAACACCAGACGCAAGGTCCCCTTTCTGCCCCTTCTTTAAGCCCTTTGTCCCTTTCTTTATTTTTTATTTAAATGCCAGCCAGTTAACATACAGTGCAATATTAATTTCAGGCGTACAATAAAGTGATTCGATACTTCCATACATCACCCTCATCACGACAAGTGCACTCCTTCATCCCCATCACCCATGTCAGCCATCCCTCCACCCACCTCCCCGCTGGTGCCCATCAGTGTGTTCTCTCAAGTCCAGAGTCTGTTTCTTGGTTTGTCCCTCTCTCTCTCCTCTTCTCCCCTTTGCTCGTTTGATTTGTCTCTTAAATTCCACATATGAGTGAAATCATATGGTATTTGTCTTTCTCGGACTTAATTTCACTTAGCATAATACTCTCTAGCTCAAACCATGTCATTGCAAATGGCAAGATTTCATTCTTTTTTATTTGCCCCCCCTTTTTTTTAAAGATTTTATTTATTTATTTGAGAAAGAGAGAATGAGAGACAGAGAGCACAAGAGGGAAGAGGGTCAGAGGGAGAAGCAGACTCCCCGCTGAGCAGGGAGCCCGATGTGGGACTCGATCCCGGGACTCCAGGATCATGACCTGAGCCGAAGGCAGTCGCTTAACCAACTGAGCCACCCAGGTCCCCTGCCCCTTTCTTTAATGTCCTCCTAAAGGCTTCCCACCCCCCATCCATAGGTATCTCTGACTGGGAGGGGCCTCACCTGGAGTCCAGGGGTGCCTGAACCTTGGCTAGTTTCTCTGAGCAGGACACGGGGCTCTTCAGAGAAGCCGTCTTTCCGTGCATCTGTTGGTCGCTGCACAGAAACAGGCCCACATCAGGAAGGGCGGCTCTGTGGGAGCACCTTTCCCTAACAACTTCACACGCCCAGGCCGGCTCCTCTGCCCGCACCCCAGACAGGCCCTGCTATTCAGGCGGAGGCTGAAGATGTGACCGGTCAGAGGCAGCAGCTCAGGCAGGAGTGCTCTGGTTCCTGACAGAGGGGGCAATCTCATGCCGCCTTTTCTGGAAGCCTGCAGGTCAGTTTATGCCCAGACCAGAAGGAAAATCAGCCTACCTTAGTGGAGCACCAGGCAGGTAGGCCTGGCCCACCCTTGAGAAAGCACAGTGGGAAGGAGGACTCTAAGACTTGCTCACAGCTGACAGAAGTTCCTGAGGTGTCTGGGCGGCATTCCCATACGCCATCGGGATCTGGGAAAGGATGCTGAGCACAGGAGGCTGAAGCAGAGCTGAGGAACTGGTGCAGTGAGGGTATGTGTGTGAGGGGGGGTCTCCAGTCAACCCACAGGTAACCATGGGCTGGGAGGGGAGGAGCGGACCCGCACCAGGAGGTGGTCTGGTAGCTTTCGGACAGACAGGGCACCTTGGCCCTGAGAGCCAAGCCATCTCAAAAATGTTGCAGAGAGGGGGCCCTGGAGGGAGGAGCCGCCATCTCCCTGGGCAGGTAGTGGCTTTTGAGTTCATGCCTCCCCTAAACAGCTCTAAAGCATAGGGTCCCCCCTTCCTGCCCCTCCAGGAGATAGGCTAGGAATCAATAAAGCCTGAGCAGTCCAACTCACCCCCAACAGAGTGGGCCCAGAAGCTGACAGGAAGAGAGGGTGGCCAAGAAGCAGGGCCAAGGCAGGGCACCGTGGTGGTCGCAAACAGGCTACAAGGTCCTGGGCAGATAAGGAGCTGGAACCTGAGGCCTGCAAATACCAACCCGCAGTCCCTCTCAGCTCTCACTGGGGTGAGTCAAAGTTCTCTTCTTCAAGAACAGAGTTGCCCACTCAGCTGAGATCTGCCAAGACCCTCAGAGATGATATAGTCTGACCCCCTACCATGCTGTGTACACAGTAGGAAACAGACCAGCCAAGGGACCCAGTATCACACAGTGAAGAGCCAGGTGACCTCACCCTACAAAATCAGCCCAACCACAGCCCTGTGGCCTGCCTTGCCCTTATGGAGAATTTTGGTGCACACATCAACATAGGTTTCCTGAATCTTGCAAAGTGACAAGTTTTGCTAATGATTTGACCCTTTTGACCCCCAAAGGTAATTTCTAGATTTATTTGGTTCCATCATTTCACATTTCAAGAGGGTTTTTCCTCCCCCTCTTGATTTTTATTATGCTCATTATAGAAAATATGAAAAAGATAAAACCTATAAATATGATGATCAAAATCCCCCAGAAGGAAAAAAATCTTCAAAAATCACCCAAAGGTTTATGCATAAATATAGAATTTATGGGAATGGAATTATGCATTATAATATGTAGGTCTTACTTTTGTTGCTTAACGTGATCTCATGAGGAATTCCCCATGTCCCTGCCCATGGCTGAGACAGATTCTCAGAAGTGTGATTCATGCGTGGAGAATGTATATTTCTCAGGCTCTTTAGACCCATTCCCAAAGTGCTTCCAGATACTCTACTGGGGACCACGACCATCAGCACTACGTGAGGGCGCCTGTTTCCCAACATCGAGGCCTTACCCTGGCTATTCACTTTTTCTCACTTTTGCAAATTTGGTACGTGAAAACATGCTATTTTCATTTCTATTTCTGCTTACGGAGGGATTGAACGAGTTTTCCCATGTAGGCATATGAACCCCTGGAACTTCCACCTGTGAATTGTCTATGAGGATCTCCACGTTTGTCTTATTGATTTGTATTAAATGCTTTTTCGAGAACATTAATCCTTAGTTTAACATGTTTGCAAACATCTCCCCCAGTGTGTCATTTGCCTTTAGTTTTGCCTGTGGTTTTGTTCCATTTTTGTGTGGTAGATTCCTTCCACGTCTTCCATCTCTCGGTTCCCCACTTGGCTTGCATGCTTTGGTTGGAGAGGCCCCCAACGCAGAACGTGTACAAGTCAAACCGCTGAGCCCTTGGAAGCTTGGACCCTGCAGCCTGTGATCTTTCCTGGGCCACCAGGGAAGAGAAGGGTGGGTGTGGGGCCCACTTGAAGGAACACGCTCTAACCTGGAGGACCAGGGATCGAGTGAGACCCCAAGCAGGACGTTGGCCATGGTCTCAGCGGCAGGGAGCCTGTCACTCAGGCACTGGAAAGGGTGATTGGAGGTGTCAGGGCCGCAGGAGCTCAGAGAGCAGACAGAGCAAGAGTCACAGAAGGGCTCCCAGAGAAAAGGAAGCCGAAACTTACCGGCTGGGTAGGACTATCGCCCTGCATAGGTTCCCATACTCTAACTTTCCGTTCATAATCATGCCTGTGCGGGGATCCTAGACCGAACTCATCCTTAGGTCCGGCATGACTTTCTCCCGGAGAGGGGAGCCTACCCTCCGCCCTCTCCCGGCCTAGTGAGGAGCCCCCACGGCAGACACTCACAGCACCCCAATCCCTGCCTCCCTCTGGGCACTTGTCACACCGGGTTGGTGCCTGAACTGCTCATCTCCGGGGGCTCCAGCATGGCAGGGACCCTGCCTCCTCCCTCACTGAAGGCCCTGAGCTGGGGGCAGTGCCAGCGTGTGGCAGTCACACACGACCCGTTTGAGGAATGACCCTGTGGGGACAGGAAGTGAGGCTGGAGGAGGGACAGACCACGAGAAAAATAAAAGAAGGCTCTGCACATTTCCCACAGCATCTCCAGGAAGAGAAGAACGGGGGTAAAACGCAGTCACTGGGAGCAAATGGCTTTCAAATATCCTTAAACTTAAAAGCAACTCCTTTACGCATGATGAACAGGATGGTTACAAGCCATTCCGACCTGTCCATCTGTGAGGGCCAGTCCCTCCTGGCCGGCCTCCTAATGTTCCTGATACAGAGACCCCGCCTGGGGCCCCAAGATACTGCTTTCAAAATGATCAAGTCAGACTTTCCACCAATTAGTCTTCTCCCCTACAGTGTTTAGATGAGTAAAAATAAAGACATGGGAGCGAAGTCAGATGCACAGGTAGGCCTGGGGCAGAGTGGTCACCACAGAACCAGTCAGGAGGGGAGCCCCCAAGGACCCACTGGGCCCTGCCTCAGAAGGCCAGGAAGGGGGCTTCAAGAGCAGGAAGCTGGAGAACGGGGGGGCCGGCCTGGGTCCCCCCCACCATGCTGGTGGCCTCTGTGCATTCCCACACAGACCTCCTCAAGCCAGTTGCTCTGTGTGTTGTGAACAACAACCCCAGCCCATCCAGTCCCACCCACCTCCACACTGTGGGGTAAGATCAGAAGTCCTCAAATCTGTGTCTGTTTTTTCAATCAAAGCCCCCCACCCCAAAATATCATTATTGTAATCAAGGGGAGGCAACAGGGGAGGCCCAATACTTTGGACATTAGAGAGGGTAGAAAAGGTTGGCGAAGGCCCCGATGGGGCCCTTTCACCCTGCTGAGCCTGGTGCCAGGGCAGGATGCCTCTCCAGAGGATGCAGCAGGAACTTGACCCGCCCGCAAGCCTTCCTTCATTCCCTGCACAAATACTGAGCTTTATCGTGCCATGAGCCCAGCGTGGGGCCTGCCGCTCGGGGCTGCTGAAAGGGCAGAGATGGGTAGCTAGCAGATCCAGGGAGATGTCAGGAGAGGAGCCAGGCCAGTCAAGAAAGGGGGCCGCAGAGAGAGCAGGAGAGGAAGAGAGAGACAACGAGGAGGGAATCCAGAGGTGCCAGAGTTGAGCTGCGTCCTGCAAACTCAGGGACCAGGCTTCACAGGACACCTGCCATGTGCACTCCACTCTCGATGCTTCCCAGGCTCAAAATACTTCCACTAGGCGGGCACTCCCAAATCTAAATCTCTAACCTTGACACCCCCCTCTCCTCCTGAGCTTCAGCCCGCCATCGGGATGCACCCAGCAAGGCGCGCTCGGTGTCACCCCCTAGATCTGCTTCCTTCCGAGCACCCAACATCCCTGAAAGGTTCCTCCTGCCACAGCGGCCCCAGCCAGAATCCGTAGCTCTCTCCTCCACGGCCCCACGACCAATCGATCCCCAAGGCCCCAAGAGCCCTACCACCGCTTAACCCACGACACCATTCACTTTCTCCACTCCTGCTGAGCGGGCCAGCCGCATCACCACCGTCCTCTCTGCGGATGCGGGCAACAAGCTTGCTCACATGCCTGGCCCTCTCCGCACCTGCACGGCCAACAGAGCCACCTGGGGCCCAGATCCGATCCCGCCGCTCTGCAACTGGTGTTCCTTCTTGAGTTCCCTCTCGCCTCCTCTGCAGGCCTTCCTGAGCATCCTGCTTTCCTTCCCAGGCACCCCCACAAGGCTCCCCTGAGCCCCAGCTTCCTTGCTGCCGTCGCCCTCCCCAGGGACGCATCCTCCGCACCTGGAATTCCTCTCCACGCGCATCCACCTGGGGAATTCCACTCATCTTTCGAGCCCCAGTTCAAATGTCACCTCCTCTGTGAAGCCTTCCCTAGTTTCCCCCCTTATAGAGTTGGTCAGTCCCTCCTCTGTGGTCCCTCGTCCCCTCCGTCATGCTGTTGCCCCAGCACTTACCACACCAGACTGTGCTTGTCTGTTTACACATCCGTCTGCCCCCAGTCAACTCTGAGCTCCACCAGGAGTGTGTCTCATATACCCCTGTATCCCCAGCCCACAGCAGGCACCCAGTGTTTGCTACCGTGAAGGAAGGAGACAGAGAAAGAGAGATGGTGACACTCCCAGAGGGGGGAGGGGAGGAAAAAGCCAGGCAGCAGGAGGGAATGGCATGGAGGACGGAGCCCATGGGGCCCCTGCAGGCGGTTGGAGCCTGGCCGTGGAGCAGTCGTCAGCACCAGCCCAGCACCGCCAGGCACCCAGTCCATCCTGGCTGATGATCAAACGGGGAGCTCAAGTGGAAGGCAGAAGATATAAGAAAAAGGAGAAAGTG